CCCTCTGATTGGTTGATTTTGACAGTTTTTGTCTACAGTGGAGCGTCTTCGGTCACAGAGAGAAATGCGATATGGCGGTGATGACGGACTCAAACGTCTCGTCACGCAGAATTCGAACTCGCGACAAACACAGCGCTGAATGACTTTCCAAACGTGAAGGCTAAACGCGAAGAGCAAAGAAACTGTTTAAAACACCTAGTCGGCAGGATAGATGTCTTTGCAATTTTACCGAGTGGCTTTGGAAAAAGTCTTATTTTCCAGCTTTTTCCTCGAATAAAGCGTGCGTTGGAATGAAGGCAGGATAGAATGCCATTTACGATTGTTGTGGTAACTCCGTTGATTGCCATCATGAAAGACCAAGTGGAACATTTGAGCAAAACCGGAGTAGCAGCGGCAATGATGGGAGAAGATGTGAATGAAGCCGTTAAAGTGGAAGCTGTGAAATTGTATACTGGAGTCCCAAATCGTGGTTGTCTAAGGAATGGACAAAGGACTTCAAGAAGGAAAGCTTGGAAAGCAGGTAGCAGCAATCGCTATTGACGAGGTCCACTCAATCACCGAATAGTAAATTTTCCCTTCAATTGTTGTGCATTTTTATTGCTTGAGCTAACGATCTGTATTGAAACGGGTTTCTTTCGAAATGAGCGATATTTGTTTGTCACTTGATTAATATTTTTTTTGTCACGTACACGCTGAAATCTTGTTCTAAAGCCGTAAATAAATTCATTGTACATGAATACTTCTCCCGCTCTCAATTGTCTGAAAGTCTTACATTAGGTTTTTAGTAAGATTATGTATACATTAAATAAATTTTTGATCTGAGAAATTTTGATTTATTCGCAAGAAACATAATAAATATATGGGGCTGTAACACCAGTCTTGATTGACAAGTGAAGACCACCTACAGCTGATGCGATCTGAGTGGGTGGAAGAGTCTATTTAAAACAAATCTTACAGGCGTTCCCTCTCTCACCTCTCCTCCTCCCTCGTTTTTATTTTTTCGCGCTCCTTTTTACTTCGCACCGCTCCCCACAACCTGAACGCCTGGAAAAGGCTACATCTTCTCAGTCTTCTGAACATTTTGCTAGGTGGCCGAATGTAACAATACCTTAACATAATAAAGAGCGATAAAGATTACCTGTTTGATTTTTGAGATCGTGATTATTCTTCTTGCTCTTGTATCAGCCACAATATGCTTGAAATTTAGCATTTTTCCACAACTGAAGAGCATCTCGACCCGGGATTGATCAGTGAAGGCCGTTTGATATGTTCGCAAAGCTTGCGCTCAACTACCAGATAGTTAGTACTAAAAATAAAGCAACTCTATCCTATAAAAAAAAAAAAGAAATCATACGAAAACCAGAAAAACGAATAAGGAAACTAGGAAGAAAAAAAGACATTTCTTGATTCCAAAGAAAGCTCGACTGTGAAATGTGACCTTGTTTAACCTTTTGTTGAATCATGATTGGTTTAGCTGTCAAGCGGTGACTCATTACGTTTTATCAGTTTTTTCGTGGTCATGTTACAAGAACCGTTTTATGTGCTATTCAAACCACACCGCCAACTGCATGTCAGGGAAAAGGCCGTACCGGCAGCACTTGAAATATTGATTGCTTCGATTTTAAAGGAAAACGGACGCTTCTAAACTGTTGTTGATTCAAACTGATACATGCATGATTTTGTGATGCGGTAAAAGTGCGTTCAGGATAGACCTACTGTGTTGCTGTGTTGTTCCTCAACCCTCCCCGCCCCCCCCCCGGCTTCAATCGCCTCGACTATTTACAACGACGACCGTTGTAATTTATGAAAATGGGGTAAATGTGCAAGTGTTTAACGAAGAAATAGAATTAAATCTGCTGAAGAAACGGACGTTTAAGACGACTAGAGAGGTGAGGAATAATTGCATTTCATGAGTCTTTAAATAAGCTGGCTAGAAAAAAATAGTTATTGTTACATAACAAAGTAAACTGTTGCACAATGGTTTTGAATCTGTCTTCACCTTTTTTTAACTTTCTGAACGGTATTCTGATGTCGACTATACAAATAGATACTTCGGAGAAAAAAAATTGCTGGTGAATTTAGAAGTTATTCATCTGCAGCCCTGTCAGATGTTCTTTAAGAATTTTCAGTGAGATTTGGCTCGGATTACCTGTAGATATAAAAAATTTAAATTTTTCACTTTCACTGTAGTAACATGTAGGTTTCTAGAAAAGTTCGGTCTGATTATGTTACTTTAATTAAGCCTGACGATCCTTGATTGCTAAAGCCATAATATGGCTATACTTAGCTAATCTTGATATAAAAACATCAGACCAGTGAGTTCCATTTCAATTTAATTGCAACAAATGCTTTATCTTTCAAAAATGTCACGCTGGTTTAGGGGTGATTATTGTCACGCATAAGTTAGGTTGATATCTTACGTGCCTCGATAAACAAAGTTGTTGTGCAGGTTATATAATGCATCTAGAAACCGGTGGTCGTTAAATCAGTACAAATATATCAGAAATAAACATGCGAGAGACATAACTCTGATTCTCCGCCCGATCTCCAATAATGAAATAGTGTTCTCTAGCATACACTATCTGCAACTCTTTGTAACAAAATTCTTGTCAATAGCAGAAGGGAACTATGGGTAATGTCTAAGATACAATAGTTTATTTGCAATTATTGTATCATAGTGACTTGGATGACATCCCTAGAGTAGCATGAACTAAAATTTTATTTAGCGAAGTTTAAAGTAATGGGTTACAACTTCCTAAAAATTTTGCTGGACCAATCATTATTTACCTTCCTAAAATAAGGGGTTGGTTTCTAAAGAAACCGTGTTGTTGCGATTCGTTGGATAAACCAGATCTCTTTATTATATAGACACGAGTGTTTTACTGGAAAATATACCACTCATAAAATTCATAAAAACTACATCCGGGACCCGAGTGGTTTATTTTCCATAATCTCACACGTGAGTTTATCGATGACGTAATTTTGGTAATTTTCCTCTATTATTTTATCGATGTCATTTTGTCTATGTAATAAAAAGAACATTACACGGCGGCTTGAAGATATGAATTTTATTTTCTCGAGGCAAAAACTCGAAAATAAAAATGCCACTCGAAAATAAAATTCATATCTTCGCGCCATCGTGTAATATCCTCTATGTATTTTACACCCCCAACGATGCAACACTACAGTTTCTCTATCAGCTTACCAGCGTAATGGTCAGAGTCAGTCGTTTGATTGATACATTAATCTTTTTGGGGAATGAGTGAAAACTATTCTGCAACCAACCTTATTAGAAACACAAAGAAATTCATTTTTTTCTTTTCTTTTTTTTTAAATAAATAATGTCCCTGAATAATTCTGAATGCCGAGGCCAGTGATATGATAGAATAACTTGAAGTAACAGTCATCACATACTTTAACTTTAAACATTCAACACACTAAAAATCTAGAAACTTTAAAAATAAAACCTTAGGGCTGGTTATTCAAACGAAGTCTACCTTAAACCGCGGTTTACGGAATCTATGGACTTCCAGATCTCTTCGTTAGTGAATTATTTTACCAACACAAATGCTTTTATAGTCTACTTTATATGTTTTAATGAAACTGTTTACGATAAATGGTGTTTACGTAAAAGCGTGTGACGAATTGAAAATGACTTAGTTAAAGTCTTGAGATATATTTCGCTCTTCTCAGCGTCTTCAGTCAATATGCTTATTTACAGCTGATGATAGGTACAGCAAAATAAATTGCGTGCTCTCCGGCGTCATGTAAGCCAACATCAGAGAACTTATCTCAAAGAGATTGCGCTGTCATGTGCGACGATCGCGCGTGGAACGCCTAAGTAATTCCATTCATTCAGTTCATTCTTAGAGTTAATCAGTGAGCCTTTTGGTACTTTGTCTATCCGAACACCCTCAAATATTTGTCCTAGCATGGCATCATTGGAGTAAGAACCAGTAACACTCATTTTAAATTTCTGCATCTCATTGTTGACTGTTTCTCTTTGCAATGTTTCCACAAAGCCAACCGCTCCTCCTTTTTGCTGAGTGACTTCATGACTGTACTTTCCCTCTTAAGTAACCTCTTAACCGCAACACCAGCTCTTTCGACCACCTTGATCTTGAAACCCAAATATACAAGGGTGTCGGGATAGACAAAGTACCAGAAGGCTAACTGATTAACTCTAAGAATGAATTGAATTATTTTCGCGTTCCGAGCGTGATTGTCGCACATGACAGCGCAATCTCTACGAGATATGTTCTCTCATGTTGGCTTACATGACGCCGGAGAGCACGCAAACTAATTTAATGTACCTTACATGAACTATTAAGCTTATCGACTGAAGGGGCACGAAGAGCGAATTATATCTAATCTCAAAAGCTTTAGTTTTTATTTTTACAGTTTCTAGATTTTTGCTGTGTTAAATTTGTAAAAGACTTTTAAAATGTCTTCTTCTAGTTCGAAATAAATAACGCAAATTCAACTTTTTATCTGATGTGTTTGAGAGTCTAAAATATTTAAGGTGTTCTCGTTAAAAGTGATTTGTGTCCGTGTAGTTTATGGTAACCACTCAGATGCCTTTTAAAGTAATATAGGTAGTGTAATTATTATTTTACATTGACCATGTTCATACCATGATTATCAAATTCATTTAATTAAATAGTATGGTTTGACCATGGGCAGTCTTATCATTATTCAACGATCATGTTCAAACCTGCATGCTGGAACATGTTTTTGGTTTTTAAATTCACCTTAAGCGTACAGAGCTTTTCACCCAGTGCTGCCATGCCAGTCCATGGTTAAACGTGTTACTTTGACCATGGTCATACATGGTGGTCTATGTTATTCCATGTTTAGCTTTTGCCTTGAACATGCTTGATCATGTTATATCATGGTACATGACCATAGTCAGACATGGTTGTCTATAGGTTGAGTTTGATCGTCCGGGTGAACGTAGTCCTGAATAGGACTGTTGTTGTTGACAGTGACTGACGTTTCGACAACCTGTGCGGTAGTCATCTTCAGAGTCAAAGTGAGTTGTGTCACGTCAGTTGATGGTATTATACTTGGTTATTGATCTGATTGGTCAATTATGTCGCGATGTTATTGGTCGTCTGTCAGTTAAGCCGTGATATTATTGGCTATGAAGACTCGTAATCAGTAATTGGTGCGTTTCGATCCGTCTATTGTCACAGTTAAACAGTCGTCTATGGTTAGTCAAATTGTCAGTTCTCCAGTTGTTCTCTCGTAGTTAGTTTTCTTTGATCTCGTCAATAAGTCGTTTGTACGGCGCTGGTAACTGTTGGCTACGATTCAGTGGCTTATTTTCTAAGTTAGTAAACCAGCTTTCTAAAGTAAGACTTTGATAGTAGTCTGTAGAATACGTTATACATGTCGCATAGTCCCAGTCAATTTGATGTTTCGTCTTTAAATGGTGCTCAGCAATGTGATTATTGACGTCACCATTCCTCGTCGCGCGTTTGTGTTCGGACAGTCGCGTGCTTAGGTTTCTGCCGGTTTCACCAATGTAAGAAGCCTGGCAGTCGCAGCATTTGATCTTGTATACTGCTCCCTGTCTGTCCTCCGGTTTGTCTTTGTCCTTGACATTAGTAAGCAGTCGCCGTAAAGTGGTTATCGGTTTGTGCGCAACACGTATAATGTAAGGTTGTAATATACGTGCAATAGTTTCAGAGGTGCCTCTGATGTACGGTATAGTCGCTGTCGTAACAGGGCCAGAGTTGGTCTGAGAGTTGGAATCAGTGTTACTGTGAGTGTTCCGTCTAACAAAGTCCGTGTTGTAATTGTTCTTACTAAAAACGTTGTTAAGATAATCAGTCTCGTCTTGTAGGCTGTCAGGTGAGTCGCAAACTAGTTGCGCTCGTCTCGTCAGAGTCCGGATAGTAGTAGCCTTGTGAGAGGTCGGGTTGTACGAAGACTGACACATACCGACAGATTACTAGACCAGTCTTCGTACATCACGGCTTAACTGACAGACGACCAATAACATCGCGACATAATTGACCAATCAGATCAATAACCAGAGTATAATACCATCAACTGACGTGACACAACTCACTTTGACTCTGAAGATGACTACCGCACAGGTTGTCGAAACGTCAGTCACTGTCAACAACAACAGTCCTATTCAGGACTACGTTCACCCGGAAGATCAAACTCAACCTATTGAAATGACTCCTGGGTTCAAACCTTTCACATGGTTGTCTATGTTATTCCATGCTTAGCTTTTGCCTTGAACATGGTTGATCATGATATATCATGGTACATGACTATGGTCTTACATGGTTGTCTATGCTGTTCCATGCTTTGCTCTGTCTTTTGCCTTGAACATGGTTGATCATGTTATATCATGGTATCTTTTTCACCTGATCAACCAGGGAAAATTATTGTTTGCTGCTCCCTGACCATTTCAATATTAGACCACAACTGACCATGATTAAACGCGGTCATTGTGTCCATTGTTTTCACATGGTTGACCATGGCGCAACATTGGTAATTTGGACCTTGGTGAACAGACGGAATCAGTCTCAGGGTTTTATATAAGAGCTGGCAGCCGGTGAAGTTCGCCGTCTTCTCTACAAGGTTCTGCCGGCTACTTTCATTACTTCAAGAATCAAGATATGACAAGGAGATGATAGGGTCCTTAATTTCGCGTTATTCGCGATTGCAAAAAAAATCGCAAAAATAACGACCCGTTAAAATAAATCCTCGAGAATTTTAAGCACGCGAAATTAAATATCGACAATATAACTTGTCAACTGGTTACAGTGTTACACTGTTGGTAAGGTTTTTTTTGTATCTTGCGCACACTGTTTTGGGTCATTCCACGGCAATCTGTCTTTGCGAAGAAGACACTTCGGAGACACAAAATCGCTCCTCTGTAAACTACTGAAAGAAGAATTCCAACTTTTATATGTTTTACGTAGATGTAAACTAAGTTTATCTAAAACACGAGACAAATCTACTCCTGCTCTTTACTGAGAGATACAGTCAAGGAATAATTGCCCGTTGCGGAGAAGACTTGCTAGAAACGCGAATTTTTATTCTCTCAATTCAAGGTTAGATTCTTTCTAATTCGGGCATCTTTTAAAATGACTTTTTCCTTACAAAGAAACAGCTCTCTGTAATTAATCGTCAAATGAAAAAAAATATTTAGTTATTCCTTCTGAATGTACCTGAGATCTCGCAATGATTTGATGTGGACCTGTTGCAGGGAAGACGTTAAGGAGAAGACAAAAGGGCTCGCTGTAAAAACACCCTGTTTTGTTGAGGGTAAACCGTGGATCAGAAAGTACTGAACGACAGGAAATGGCTGCCGATATAAGACAGGCTTTAATAAGGGTTTATTGATAACCTGCAGTTATACATGTATAAGTATTAATAAATAACTTAATCTAGATTGATTGATACATTTTATATGTAAATGGAAGAATAGGCAACATCGTCTAAAGTGCCTGGTGGCTTGATTTCTTTCCTTGCACCGACTGGATATAGTGTACCCACAATGCAACAGTTTATTGTTCATGCCCAATGCTTTATACTAGTCTCGTGGGGCAAGCTGGCCCCCCAAAGCAAGTCTTTCTTTCGTAGCCGTCTTCTCCGCAACGAAAGTGTTTCCTCCGCAACAAAAACAAAACATTAAATTTTCGTTGAAATTTTTTTGTGTTTTGATGAATGTTCAATATAGAAAGGTTACACTGACTATTAATTAGAACATTTGGAAAATTTAAACATTTTGGCCCGTTTTCCTTACTGCAATCAAAACTCTTAGTAGTGAAATACGGTTAATGTCTAAAGCTTTCATATATTGCTCTCCAATTCAACTTATAAAAATTTGAAAACTTTCAGACCTTTTTTAAAAAAGGAAATGAAGCTGGGGACGCTTAAAACGAGAAATTTAATGCCTTTTTTTCATATTTGCGTGTTATCTTAGTTAAAGTTTTTAAAGGTGTTTCGATACAGTTTTTCGGAGCTGACCACACCGATATTTTCAAATGTGAATTTATTATTGTCCAATCGCCATAAAATTTTCACCACCAGCTGACCTTGAATTGAAGTTTGTCAAAATATAGCTTAAAGTAAAATCAACATCACCATGACAACGACAAACACAACTCTTTGTCAGGACGAGTTTTGCGACATCTAGACCTTCCATTGAAAATCCAACATTAAGAACTTGAGTGTTACGTGTTTAGCAAATAATCTCTGTGAGAATAAAAAAGCTGTATGTTTGAATTGTAATAAATCGCAAATGAATTTCAAGCCTTGTATTATCAATAGTCGTGATAAATGAACAAATAAACAAATTCCAAATGACTCAAATTACTCTATAAAGTTTCATGACAATGCTTCATTTATCGCTCAAATTTCGTCCTTCGAAAATGTCCCGAAACGAGACGCTATCTTGGGTCCGGTCGCAAAACAGTGAATAGTATACAACTATCCCCCGAAGGGGAGATTAATAGTGGTGGGTGTATATACCGAGACGAGAAGCGTCGAGGTATATATCAAGCGCTATGAACCGATCGTGACGGGGATAGTTGTTTTAGTATTTACCAAATCGGTTGGATAAAAATAAAAAAGAAACTTTTTGTAAATAAAAGACATCACTTAGTTAGCAGTGGCGGATCCAGGGGAGGGGCCCGGGGAGCCCGCCGCCTCCTCTTATTCTCAGACCAAACTGAAGCACGAAGGGCCAAAAAATTTTTTGGAGACCGCCTCCCCCTTATCTCGGGGTCTGGATGACCACCCCCCTGTTATCTCAAGATCTGGAACCAGCACTGGTTAGAGTTTGTTTACGTTGCAATTGACAGCGTTTCGAGGATCATTTTATATGATTCTGTTGCAAATTCAGTGAGAATTAAATTTTTTTCTACAGACCAGTAAACGGCGACAAGCCAAATTTTGTCTCTTTCTTGGTATTTGTTGGAGCAGCTGCTTCATTTACCGCTAAAATTTCATCTTTCGAAACCGTCGCGAAACGAGAAGCCATTTTGAATCCCGTCCCAAAACAGTGAATATCCAAGGATATTCTGAGTTATGGGAGCCAATCAGAACGCACGAAAATCGCCATCCACTGATTTGGTGGATACTAATCAACGATATTCCGAGGTACGGGAGCCAATCAAAACACTCGAAAATTGTTATTAGTAAATACTATTACATGATAGTCTTTACAATAGGCCGTTAAGTAAGACTCAGAACTCCTAAGTTTTACTTAACCAAAGATACGTTTGTGAGGGCCTATAGTAAGTAAAATCTCAAGTTATGTTACTTTGCATCTCATTAAAGTCGAAAATTGGAAACGATTTTCTAGAGAAGTTTTAAGTGACTTGAAAACCACCCTTAAAACCGACTTAGCCAACATGCGGTTTATTGAGCTTTGAGATTAGCGACGCATGTCAATCAATCTTAATTAGGAAAATATCCTTAAGTTAACCTCAAGTAAACAAGAAACGGTTCTGTGTGAAGCTTTATTATACTTTAAGTATTTTATATTTACTTGTCTTGAAATATTGCTTAGTTTATTTAGGCTCCAGTGTAAAGACTACCATTGTTTCACTGCGAGACCCTCAAATGCTAAGCAAAACCTAGCCAGCGAACATCCAAACACTATCCTGGGCTGAAAAAAAAAAACAGCATTGTAGTGAAACGTATTTTCAGTTGGCATTTTCTTATTCGTTCATTAATGTATTTAACAAAAAAAAAATTGAACTTAAAAACGTTACTCGACGTTCGATATACTCAAACATCATTATCAAGAGTGCCGAGAAATGATCAGTTTCAGAGATGTTGAAAGAAAACAACTTCGGAGTCTTGGCTCAAAAATAGCTATTCCTCTGCACCCTGTTTTCACCAGTATGAAGTTAGGAAACATCCTCAAAGACAAAGGAGCCGAAACAGAAGATCGAATATGGTCTAAATGAGCAATACGTTGTATATAATTTCAAATGTGGACTATATGATATGGACAATGTTGGTTTAACCACCTACATCAGCGCATCCGCGAACACTCAAGATCATATTCGTTGATCGGGGGGCACATGGAGGAATATGGGGTCGATAAGCCAACCCTCACGGACAATTTCTTGAAAAACGCAGAAATAAATTGGAATGCCCTGTCTACGAGATGCTATTTGTCTCGAATTCTCCCAAACAAGAAGCCTAAATATGCAGCTATCGCAAACAGGCGCTATAGGGTCATCTTTGATGTGGTGTTAACACGCAGTATTCTAAAGTCAAAAGTTTGATCCTAAGTAGATTCTAGTTTATTGCCCATGATTAAACGGTACAGGATGTCGAGTATGCTAACGAAAGCGGATACTTCCATTTAGATGCATCCCAATGATGTGGCACTGTTGTTGATCGCGGTGATAGTGGATTATATGGCAATATTGATAGTGATGAAGACGACGACGATTCTGCCGGAGGAGATGATGTTGGTGATGGCAATAATGATATTTCAGATGATATTGTTTTTGGTACTTGAACGTGAGGGCGAAATACAACAGGTATGTGTCTTTCAATTCAATTTACAGCCTGTTACTTGGTTAGTTAACATGCTTTTTCTCATAACGGAGCACTGCAAATATAATAGCACCACAAGTTATCTCGCTCCATTCGTTTGACAAACATCTTAACCGCTAGTCACGTTTTACCTCGGTTACTCATGTTTACTCCTACTTATCCACCTTTTTACCCCATTTACCCATATTCAACCTAATTTATGCAAACAGGCGCAATGTGGTCATCTTTGTTTTGGTGCATCGCCAGAAATTTCGAATCGGCATGCGCAGTGAGAGGCGACACTTAAAAAAATATCAATGCAATTTTCATTACATAGAAATGACTGAGAAAAGATCGGAAATCGAAAAGAGC